AGGAAAAATATCATACAAACAGGAAGAAACCAAAAAAGGCAACTTGGTAACCATTTTCTGGGCTCTACTACACTCAAAATTTAATTTTATAAAAATAAATAGAAGAGAAGCCTTAGTTCTATAATCTATATGAAGAAACCAATAGAATATTCGTATACCGTAGTAGTTAGCATTTGCAAAATCTTGGTAAAGGACTTCTCTGCAAAATAAGAAAAGAAGAAAAATCACGGAGATTTTTCTCTTAGTGAAAGTTCACAGGAGACAAAAGAAAATTGGTGGATACAATTGAATTTGGATAATGTGGCTCAGTCCACAAAAAGAATACACCCATGTAAGCATACTCTTTAGGCAGGCCTTTAACTGGTTCCTCGCCTTCTCATCAACATAAAATCGAAGACATTTAGTTTACACCACAAACTACAAATATATACAGCTTATTACACTTTGTTTTTCTTCTCAGTTTGCATAGAAAAATGGCGGTTGCTGCCGACAGCCGATTCGCCTTATCAGCGGCAGGCCAACTTCATAGCACAACTGCAGCATTGACAGGGAGAAACTTAAGGGTAGTGAAGTTCTGCAATGGAGAGTTGATGGGAAAGAAGCTCAAATTTACAAAATTTCAGTTAAGGAGCAATGTAGTGAAGCCTAATATCTGCATGTCACTTACAGCTGATGTTGCAGGTGAGGCTAAGGTGAGTGGTTCTACATTTTCTCAAATGGCTCAAACTTGCCATGTATTTCTTTGCTTTCTTTACAATTGAATGAGCATGGGACTACTTAATAAAGAGATTGGCCACTTCTCAACATAAAATGTGATAGATACGTCATGAATTAATTTTACTTGCTTCATAAGTTCCGTCAATGAAGTTGACATAATCATGAGATAGGCTAAATGAGCAAAAATGGCACTAATTTGAGCTGAAGACATCATGCTAAAACAACTTAAACTAATCAGATATAGAGATGTGATCCCACTACCCCCTCAACCTGAAATACAACATTTATGATAGTTTCAAACCTATCATAATTATCTAGTAGTGTGTGTGTTAATATTTAATATAAAATAACTTAATTCATCTCTGACTATACTAACTTTAGAACAATGCCTAGTTTGACCAAGTGTGGAATGTGGACAGTTAAAGGATCTTGAACCGGAGAAGGCTGATACAAGGACAGTAGTAGCAATCATTCTAGGAGGGGGAGCTGGCACTCGTCTTTTCCCTCTCACCAAGCGCCGTGCTAAGCCTGCTGTAAGTTTTCTTCAGATTATCTTTCTTCAGATTATCGAAGAAAATATTACTGAGTCTTTGTAGAGCTATCCGCATCTCACCATTGAGTCACTATTAATTCGTTTCAGGTTCCAATTGGAGGAGCATACAGGCTAATTGATGTACCAATGAGCAACTGTATCAACAGTGGCATCAACAAAGTTTACATTCTCACCCAGTTCAACTCTGCCTCGCTTAACAGGCATATTGCTCGGGCTTACAACTTTGGCAATGGTGTCACATTCGGAGATGGCTATGTCGAGGTAAACACCAATGTTTATTTTCCAGTATAGTTTCAGGTTTTGATGATATTGGCAACATCATGGCTGATAAGTTGTAACACAGGTCTTAGCAGCAACTCAAACACCAGGTGAAGCAGGGAAAAGATGGTTCCTAGGTACTGCAGATGCTGTTAGGCAATTCCACTGGCTTTTTGAGGTACTCACTCTCCTTTGTTTCTGATCTCCTAGTCACATTGCATTGCAATTTCCGGAGTTCATCCCAATAGTGAAAATAACTCCAGATTCCTGTACTGCAACAGTTTTGTCTTCCTCATATATCATATATCAGTTTGCATTAGCATGCCCTTCCTCCCATGTTTTTCTTCAATATGTAACAATTGATCTGAAGAGGCATCGAAATGCATATATTCATATGTTATATCAGGAGATTTCAGTTGTAGATGACCACAACTCAACCTTAGACCAAACAAGGTCCAGCAATAATCACAATGAAAAAAATTACATATGCCAGACCAAGTTAACTGAGCTGTGTCAGTTTACTTCCAGGAAAACTTAATCACATGCGAAGAATACAGAACTTAACAGCATGTAAATACAAGCAATATGTTCTCCACGCTCAGCTATGACCATCACCATAATTATCTCATCATATGGCTTAAATGTAGACATCAATTAATGAAATTCATATTGATTTTCATAACTGAAGGATCAAAGAAGCAGGGACATAGAAGATGTGCTCATTCTCTCTGGAGATCACTTGTATAGAATGGACTACATGGACTTTGTTCAGGTAAGGCTATAGACTAATATATACCTTGCTTGATATCATTTTTTTGGAAAGATTGTCTATTACTCAAAAGTGAAAAAATCCATCCACTTCTTGACAGAGTCATAGGAAAAGTGGTGCAGACATTACCATATCAAGCTTGCCAATAGACGACAGGTAGTTTAAGAGGGATAATCAAAATCCTAGATAGGCTATTCTTCCTCTCAACAATGGCATGCTATGTCAAGTATTGCTTTGATAATCGCTACAAAACATAATGTCTTCTACTGAATCACTTGTATGTTTTCATGATAGACGTGCTTCAGATTTTGGCTTGATGAAAATTGATGACACAGGACGGGTCCTATCCTTCAGCGAAAAGCCAAAAGGAGATGACTTGAAGGCGATGGTAATTCTCGAAAATTTGACAGTCTCAGAGCTTAATCTACTTCAAAATTTTAAAGTAGCTGCAATCAATTGACAACAAGTACTTCAGGCAGTAGACACATCTGTTCTGGGATTATCCCCAGAAGAGGCTAAAAAGAAACCTTACATTGCTTCAATGGGAGTTTATGTCTTCAAGAAGGAGATTCTCCTAAATCTCTTAAGGTATGTAACGAGCTTCTTCTTCTATAGTACCTTATTTTAGAGGGTGTCATGGTCAACATGCAAGTGATAGAAATTTTGGAGAAAGAGGGCCAGAAAAAACAAGAAACCATATTCATCCAGCTAATAGGGGTAGCTATGTTCAAAAGAAGCAAATTGTGATGGCTATTATAAAACAGAAGAGACCATTTAAAATCTTATATTAACGTTGAGTTTCTTCATGCTTCATCTACAGTAACATGCTGAAGATATCAGGTAAAAGAAGATCATTAACTGCTTACTCTTTGTCTTCTTTTAGATGGCGTTTTCCGACAGCAAATGACTTTGGTTCAGAGATTATTCCTGCCTCTGCCAAAGAATTCTGTGTCAAGGTTTGTACCACTTCATTTCTGGTTGGCATTTACACAAGACCTTGATCTGTTTGTTCAAAAAATTTACTACTACATCCAACCTTCTTGTTTCCATCATAAGGCAAGATATTCAATGTTGTTTCAATCACTATTCTGGTTATGATCTCCTAAACAGCTTAATTTCAACCTCTATGGTGACTAAAGCATTCTTCACCTGATTTTGCAGGCTTACTTATTCAATGATTACTGGGAAGATATTGGTACAATCAGATCCTTTTTTGAAGCAAACCTTGCACTCACTGAACACGTAAGAATCAGAGAACTATATGTTTTTAGCCTTTAAATGGTCTTGTTTCTTCAAACAATCTGAGTAAGATAAAAGCTGGCTATTGGACACCTGTCAATCTCATTTGACAATCTTAAACATGATTGTTTACAGTAAATAATATGGCATATGGCCAACTAATGTTTTTCCTTTTCATTTCAGCCACCAAGTTTTAGTTTTTACGACGCAACAAAGCCTATTTACACATCAAGGAGAAACTTACCACCGTCAGCAATTGATAACAGCAAGGTTTAAGACAAGGACATAGTACTTCAATCTTAAGCAGATTCATCTTTAAATATTCTTCCACTAACCAAGTCTAAATGTTGTCAGATTGTTGATTCAATTGTATCACATGGTAGTTTCTTGAACAATTGCTTCGTGGAGCACAGTGTTGTCGGAATCCGATCCCGCATAGGCTCCAACGTTCACTTGAAGGTTAGTCTAGTAAAACTGCACACTATGCTGAATGAAATTTCAGCACTACACTTTTTAAAAACAAAACTAAAATTGGTAAACTAGATTCCACGTAGATTCAACAAACATACTGTTTCATATTGAAACAACAAGTAGCACATGCCCATGCAAACACGTTTAGCAATCATGTGGGTTATTTGGAAAGAAAGAAATAGGAGGGCATTTGAAGGGGTGGACAAGATTTTGTAAAATTGCAAAATAGTCTTTTGTTTCTTGTTTCTTTTTGGTGTACTCATGAGGTCCCAATTTGTATAGAGGACTAGGGCTCTCTTGTTGAGAACCAAATTTTGGTATAGGTTCTCTTCTTTTTGGTATACAGCTTGTATACGAGGTTTCCCCTAATTGTTAATAAAATTATTTACCTTATCAAACAAAAAAAAATTTACTTCTCTGCTTACTTGATTTTGCAATTACTGCTAATTCCTCACACTTAGTTGGTGTGAAATCCATACAGGACACAGTGATGCTTGGTGCTGACTACTATGAAACTGATGCTGAGATTGCCTCACAACTAGCTGAAGGAAAAGTGCCTATTGGAATAGGAGAAAATACAAGAATAAAGTAAAACACTAAGATGTTTCTCCTTTTGTGTCTATCAGGCTAGAAATTGGATGTGACTGTGATCCTAATTTCATTTCTCACGTTGTTATTTCAACTAATATGCAGAGAATGCATCATTGATAAGAATGCAAGAATTGGAAAGAACGTAGTTATTGCCAACTCAGAGGTACGATCCTCCCGTACTCCCACCAACAGCAAAGAGATTAAATTTTTATTTCATTTTTATCCTGTTCTTACTAGGACTCACTTATTTTCCTCTAATACATCAATTTGCAGGGCGTACAAGAAGCAGACAGATTCTCAGAAGGATTTTACATTCGATCAGGCATAACAGTCGTATTGAAGAACTCAACAATTTCAGATGGATTAGTGATATGAATTGCAGCAATGATTTGTCCTCTTTTCTTTCATGTAGTGTTGACACAGAGAAAGTTGTGAAATTAAAATATGAGCAGAAGTAAAAGTCTCACATTCTCAACTTGTCCACTTTCAGCAAGTAAAGGTTGAACTACAGGCTGATGCTAAAAATAAAAGTTGTTTATCCCATTCATGAATTTTGATCAGAAAAAAAATGCTTGATATAAAGTAAATTTTTTCATAAAACCGGCCCGCGATGACACTGACAAAACACTGTAGAGTGTTGACAGTAATATTTTACACTAGTTGAGAACAAGCTTCTTCTAGTCAGAACTAAAGAAGGATAAAACGTTTAGACTTACAGGTAAGACCACTTGAATGCATCAAAAAACCTGTACAGTGTTTCACTAGATCGCATCATTATTCAAATATTTCCTCTGTTTTCTCACCTGTTTACTGGATCCTTACCAACATTGCTCTGAAATTTTAGGTGGTAGTTAACAATTTGGGTAAAAGATAAAGGAACTTAGAGTAACATTTTTGAAAGAACACTCGAAGATAACCATTCAATTATAACATTTTACCAATTGACCTTGCAAATGTCTTGCTTAAATTAATAAAATTACGCAGCTGTTTAGAAGTTATGAAAACCAAAGGGACTAATGTACTTTCTAATTGATGGTATCAGCTGTTAATTTATCTTGTCCTTCATTTTTAAATAAGCAAGACAGAGTCAAATGTGATTTTTGAGGCTAAGATTATGGAGAAGAACTCAAAATACAGTTAAAAGAATAGCTGTTCACAACGAAACATTAATTCGTTCTCAAATCTCTGTAACACAAACCGCTCTTCCACTGTTATAATGCTGGTAACAAAACATTTTTTATCTGAAAATGGTTTCCTACCAGTCCTGCCAGCTCGATGAAGGTAATTTACCGCATCTTTTGGGATATCAAAATTGTATATATGTGTTGTCTCTGGTAGATCAACTCCTCTAGCTGCTATATCTGTTGCCACCAATAGATAACCTCCTCCTCCTCGAAGCTCCTGTATCTCAGCAACATATAAACCATGTACTAAAATATGAATTACATTATATACAGAAAGACGAATATTAAAGTTCCATTTCCTAGAGTCTAATAAATTGACCAAATATAAATAACATATCAGCACAACTTACAGATAAGGATGCCGCTCGTTTATTGAAATTCATATCTTCCTCTAGAAGAGAGACATTGGAAAAGCCTCCAGAAGATGACATTAAAAAATCTACCAAAAGAGTTATTGGTGGTGCATTTCCTGCCTTTTTTGACTTCTCAGACTGCTCAAAAGTTAAACAATATTGTTCAAAGTATACAACTATTTAATAAGTTAAACTAAAATATCAAAAATTGCACAGATAAGTAATAGTCATTTTTTTTATCTATGACCATAGTTCCTTTCCAATTCAAAACAGTAAACTCCATTCAATTAGACATGTGATGCTCCAACAGCTGATTTTTCAACAATACATGCAGTTGAAAGGAAACTACTATATATAAAACCCCATTTAGAAAGACGAGTAAAAGGAAGCATAAAAACAGTCTTCTTGAAAGTCCAAACGTAACCCAGCAAAGTGAAAACTTTTTCCAGCTTCTGGTGCAGAGGGATGAGAATACTTGTACTGCTATCTCTACAAGATCATTCCAGATAATAATCTGGAAACTCATCCAACCTCTAATTCCAGAGTAATTCTTGTGTGTGCTTTCATAGACTATGAATAAAGAGGGGTCTCAATACTTGAAAGTGATCAACATCACAATTGAATATTGATCACACTATTCAAGGAATTATGGTTCCCTGTCATTCTAACTAGTAACTACACACAAAGACAATCTACTATATCGAGACTGAACAGGGTTAAAGACACTAACTTGCTCGCTGACAAAAATTATGGCAGATTCAGGTGAATCCACCTGCAGTAAGGAGAGCAACACTTGATTCTTTTCCCTTTTGGTGCATACCTGCACGTGAAAAGTCAGAAACAATTACATAGAAATAGAAATAAACAAGGGACAGAGTAAGTAAGACCCAGCAACATGAAAGAGAATCATCTAATTTCTGACGATCAAGTTTTTAGCATGCATGTTCCACTGGTCCCACACAACTTAATAAAAGATTGCTGGTTTAATTTATTTTATTTTTGTGTGTGTGTGTGTGGGTTGGGGGGGGGGGGGGTCATCTGATAATTTTAGGATACCGTAAACCTGTGAAAATGACAATATACAAATACAATCTACGTAAATGGAATTTGTAAGAGGTTTTGCAAGGGAAAAAAAAGGTTAAAGAGAGCTGTATAAGTTTATGTTAGTCTCACCACAAATCTATGATGGAGGCACGAGGGCATCGGCTCTACTGAATTCACATGGACATGAACTACGTCAGCCTGCCATTATAATTTAGATAAGTACATCTTTTATGTGATTATCATCAGGTAATTACAAGTCATAATAAGAAATCATAATGAATACTTGTGCCAGCTCACTTTGGTCCATTTTTGCTGTACACAGTCATACAAGAATCTCCTGTGCTGGGGAATTGAAGCACTAGCAAATATAGTTTGACGGTTCTTGCTGGATGAGTAGGACGTCAATAGCCTTTTAAGAGAGCTGATCTCTTTTGAAGAATTGAACATGAAATCAACCTAAAATTATGCAATAATGAACATTCTTTCTATTTTGCGAATTGAATTGAAGTTGAGCAAAATAATTGCAAAATACAAGTAAGCAGAAGATTCAACTGTTAGAGACTTAAGTATGGTTAAGTTAGATAGCTTGTTCATGATATAGAAGCATTTCAGAAATATTGTTCCCGGGCACTTTTCCAGAGAAGAGTTTATTCTGACAGCTCTTATCAAAAGAAGTAGAAAAGAAAAAGTTATAATGGCGCTGACAGCATGTTTTTAAATTGCTCAGCAGCATCATGCTGAAATCGTTGAGCTCACTCTACATTGGATCCCATTCTAGTAAAGTTTCAACACAGACAGAGAGAAATATATATGATAGAAAATGCATCTTGATTACCTCATCGACAACAAGTACTTGGCAGGAATCTAGCTTTAAAACATGTTTCTCAAGCATTTGACACAAACTCCCCATAGTTGCAACCACAATAGTGGGTGGCTCAGCCTGTAACAGCACAAGCATCTCAGAATCAACACCAACACGTAAAAAAATATGCTGAAGCTTCCTCTTAATTTCTTGCAAAAAAGAGCAGTAGTAAACAAAAACAGAAGTACTGGGAGAGAGGCAACAGAAGTTAGAACAAGTTCACAGAACATCCTGAAAAAGAAAATTGCAAAGGTGCAACAAATTGAGTTAAAGATCCACAACAGTATCTTTAGAAAGATGACGTACACTACTGCAATACCACCTGTACCAAGAAATCAATAGACTGAGTCCAACCCAGTGTTTTGTGTATGTTTGTGAATCTCAGTGTGTGCGTGCCCGTGAGAGAGAGAGAGAGAGAGAGAGAGAGAGAGAGAGATTATGGATAGTTAATACATAGTTATTTATTGCTTACAAGGTGGTTTCCATTGTGCTTGATTCAGTTGTAGACTAAGATTTGTTCATATGCGGTTCTGGACTTATCTTTCATTTTCAAGCAGTAGGAACATTTGAAAATTACACGTTTCATGATGTACCACAGTGAAGAGTGTAAAATTCAAGATGCAAGATAGAACAACAACAATAAGCACCAAAAATAAGGAAATTTGGACAAAATGAAATAAAGATATCAAGGTTTACTAAGAGGGAACCAGAGGAAGGAAAGACAAAATCTTTCTTTTTTTTGGGGGGGAATGGTAACAGAGAACAAAAGACAAAATCCTAATTAAGAGTTCTGACATCAACATATTCAAGTGAGGGCTGGGGCAAGTAGATGAATGTCAAGATGATTTTGACTCTAGGGATATATGAGTAATACAAGTTGAGAGCACTAGTTTAAGCTTTCCTCATTCAGTGATACGAAATCTACAAGGACCAGTAATTTCTTTTGTACCTTTAACCAACTCTTGTGTCTGTTTAACATCCCCCCATCTAGAAGAGCCATAACAGTGCATGATTTCGGTCCTGATTCAAGTTCTGAAGGCTTTGCAGCGAGCGTCCGAGCAACCTTCGTAACCTAGCTAAAGCAGAGTTAACTTTCAGTGCATCCCTAGAGTTCCTTCTTTCTGCAAACATATGCTATAAGTAGAATGCAAAAAGGAATAACTCCACAAAATCTTACTTGCATGCCAAGCTCCCTAGTAGGCACCACAATCAATGCTTGTACTGCTGACCTTTGACTGTCAATGACTGACAGTATTTGTAGTAGGTATGCCAAGGTTTTTCCAGAACCTGTCTAGTGGGATAAATAGAAAGCAAACGACTTCCAGAATTTCATTAACAGCATAGGAAGCCAGTTGGAAAACGGGACAAGAGGAAAAAAGGGAAAAATGATTAAAATGGGTAAGCAAATTGGTCATTTATTGCTAAGATCTTGTAAATGAGTTTCGTTGCCTTTACATTTCATCTTTCCAATTTCAACATTTTTTTTGATAAGTAACAACTTATACATTTTCCTACTAGAAAAATTAGACCTTTCAAATGCCCTTTTAACAGTTCTTTTCCCCTCAAAAACAATGATATGATGGATATCTTTAAATGATGAAATGGCAAGAAAAATTAAGAAACCTTTCAGCCCTCTCCGTCGGAGGTAAGGAGAGTCGGGCACAAAGAAACAAAAAGAACAAAAAAAAGGAAATATGCTCAAATGATAAAAGTTTGTGACATCCACCCCCTAAGATCTGTAAGAATATTGTCAACTTATATGGTAGTATGGTACTAGAATCATCCAATCTATACATCTATATAATCCCGATCTTAGCAGAGATGATGTGGCACCTCTCTTAGACTAGGATTCTTATTTATCTTTTACCTCTTTTTTTCATTTTGAGCAACTCCACTTTTTTTTCTTTCCTTAACTATATTCATTCTTCCTATTTTTTCAAAAACACTTAATACATCATAATAATTCAATGGATGTAGTTTCCTACAACTTGAGGATTCTTTATTCCGGCAATTAGGCAGATGGAAAGTTAGTAATTCTTCCCAATGAATGGTACAAAGTGACCTATGTACAATTTCAATGTCTGAATATTTGCCGGCATCTATATCTATGGATGCTTAAACTCTCCTGTCAGAGATGCAAGTGCATTCTGGAGAGATCTACACATATAACATCTAATGCTACAAGAAATAAAGAGATTTCTTTGAGATCTCCTGTATCATCTTGAACGAGGAGTCCTTAACCCCAGTCCCAAGCATTGATATCTCCGCTTTTGTGGTGGTTTTGCTGGAGGCATTGTCAGTCAAGCACCCATAAGCAGTGGCAATGGTAAAGGAGAAGATGAATTTAAGCTGTTTGAGAAAATTAACGTCATTTGGCAATCGATAATGCAGACGAGCTAAGGGAACGGATAGAAGTGCACTGTGAGAGAATTATTCATTTGAGCCGTCATTAAGAGCAAATGCTGAAGAACTTGTGGAGAAGTTACCAATTCTAATCCACAACAAAACTTCAGATGTACGCTTAACAAAGTGGATACCCAGAGGAGGGAGATTCAAACCTTAAATCTAGCTAAGACTCGAGCTAACTTGCTCTTCACCTTCCCGTCCTACATTGAATCCTCACATTCTCTTTTTATTTACGGAATGAAAGTGTATGTTTCTGTTTTTCTGTATATCCTTTTTGTCTGCGTCTAATTTGACTATAGCAATTACTAATGATTATTGTTAGACCGAAATATCCTCTCTTAAGCAATACGAATCGAGTTGAGAGTACCCGAATTTGGTTGGACAAGACAAAAGGGTTTAATATCATGAACTTAGTTGAAGTTATAAACTTGTCAGTTTAGATTATTTTTGTGAGAAAAAGAAATTTTTAGTTTTTGCGGAAAAATCTACTTTTTAATATTTGGGTATTAAAAGAAGATCATTTCGCAGATTTAATGAAATCCTTCACGACTGTGCGATGCACGGGTAATACACTAGTGATATATAAAAGATGATGTATGTATTGTTATAGTTCAGCAATTCAAGAATAATGTTCTCCCTACCTAGAGTAGCTCACCATTCACTAAATAAGAGCTGCTACAAGCTTACAAACAATAGAATGGCTTCAAAGAACATTGAAGTTAGAAAAATGAAACAGCACTCCTTACAGAAACCATAGTTGTGAATGTTTAAGAAGCAATGCATAAAACACATCTTAAACAAAAAGTCCTTCTCACACAAAAATATCAAGAATCAGGCAGTCCAGCTTCAGCAAGTACAACACTGAAAGCAATGTCCCATAAGTATACCTGAGCATGAAGCACACAATCACGTCCCGAATAGAGGAAAGGCAATGCCTGTAGCTGCACTTCTGTAGGTATCACATATCCAACCTCTTCCACCCTGCAATTTGTGCTCCATATATCATTTCTCCTTAGATCCAACTCTTTAAATAATTCAAGTAATTCTCACTTTCTTTTTTTCCCAAAGACAATCTGAAATTACAGTCCACGGGTTGAATTAATGATAAAAATTTATTATTTCAATCATTTGCTAGAAAACTTTCCGGTGCCTTTATTACAAACCCAAACTTCAATCACTCTATATTCAGAAACTTCAACCAGAATAAACTAATGGACGGAGATATTTAATAAATATTGTCTAAAGCTTTACAATTTAAAGATTACCTAAGAATTACTTCACAAGCTCAAAATTTTAATAATTTCTTAAATCAAAATTTGGTTCTTATGAAGTACCAATTACTCTAATATCCACAGCGTCAATTAAAAACTACTCCTACTTTTAATTCAATGTAAAAAAAAAAATCACACTTTTTACATGCTCAATTTCGATATAAAAGCTCTGTAAGTATCAATTGAATCAATATTTGGAGAAAATTCTGTAACAAGCACTAGTCCTTCTAGAAAAATCCGGAATATCAAGCAACGTAATTCAACAAAGCGATGAGAAAAGAGTTGAGAGTTAAGGAACGGCAGCTAACCGGCGAATCACGTGCTCGGGCACGTGACCATGACAGAGTTCGCGGAGCGTTGCCGTTGATGAATCCTTCGTTTCAGTTCTAGCTTCGATGTCGGAGGTGCTGAAGGAAGCTATCAATGGCTTTTGACGGAAGAGAAATTTCGGAGTCCGATAGGTATATTTAGGTTTGAAATGGTGGGAGGTACGGTTCAACGATGAAGTCCATAAAAGAGTATGCAGCTGAGTTGCAGAGAAACACGCCATGGGAACTGGGAAGTAGGAACTGGACACTCGAGAAGAACGCAGTACTAAATTTGATGAAGATGATGAAACACAATAGAAAAACAGTACGACATCGTTATGAAAATGGCGGAATACAAATATCTTTTCTCTTTAAAAATGTCATAGTATATGTTATGAAATATTATATTTTGAAGTGGTTGTTTATAACTCTTAAATAAGTTACTTCCACTACTTTTATCCATTATGTAGATAACTCCCACTACTCTTCCGTTATGTAGATAACTCTCACTACTTCTCACCATTATAGTTGTAACTCTCACACCTCCATAATCTCCCCATGATCTTGCTCCATGATCTCAAATGTTTAATGTATGTTTATGGCATTCTTTTGTATGTCTTTATGTAATCCTATAAATAGAGGGTTTTGGCACCACATTGTACACATTTGAATATATGAAAACAATAAGAATCTCTTCTCTCTTGCTCCCTACATTCTTGTCTATTTTCTTGTTTTATATTATTACTTTGAGCTAAGTTTCGTAACACGTTATCAGCACGAAGGGCTCATTTCATAATCTTCTATCAAGATTATATGGTAGGTGCTCTTTTAACTTCCATGGCATTGGCCAATACCAATTTGGCGGCAAGGTAAGTAGATACTGTGAGCACGTTTCATATCCAAGGAAAAGAAAAAGGTAAGTAGATACTTTCTTTTGCTAATTGATGCCTATGGTCGTTGTCATTACATGAATAGCCAATTTATTCAAGAACATCTTTGTAAGTTATTGTTCATCTCTCTTGTTGGCAAGTAAATTAATTTTGATAATTGTTCATAAGTTCTTGCGAAGACACCTTAGAAAATGATATCGCATGTTTCTATTTTAGTTTGAAATACATACATTTTTTAATAGTAGGTATTGTGGTTAAAATTTTCAGAATTATTGTGTAGTGAAACATCATCATATTTGGAAGCTATATTTTAGCTTTCTAAACAGAAAATTCACTAGAAACTAACAGAGCTTTAAAGTTTTTAATTCTGCTTGTTGTATACATTTGACTATAATCAAACCTTATTGTTTATACGTAAGCAACCAAGGAACCTTTATTTCATTCGTGAAATTCATATCTTATATAGCTGTTGCATATTAATATTAATATTAATCTAGTGCATGTAGATTACCATATACTTGCATCATTGTAAATAAAATCAAGAATTTTAGGACACAAGATCGGGTAGAGATCTACATCTACATCATTATGGACTGGTAATACTTTTTAAAGGCTCAAGGGTGAGTCATAGTGCATTTTGGTCTATTATGACATTGGATAAGGGTAAGACGGTGGGTTCAAGTCCCAACGCACCATGAGAACAAGACATCGGGTTTGAGTCCTGGTGCAACATGATGATAAGAGTTGGGTTCGAGTCCCAATGCATTATAGCCTTACATGTCTTTATATGGGCAAGGCATTGGGTTTGAGTCCCAATGCATCATATTGATGATCTAATGATGACTAATGAAAATAATTTTTCATGACTGTATGTATGTACGAGGGCATGGCAAGTGACGAAATAATAGTTGTCATCACTATGGTAACTATAAAAGGAGAACAATAAGGGTTCTCGAAGTAATCCTTCAATAGGTGAAGGAAATATTTACCATTAAATTGGTATGAAAAATTTATAAAGCGCGTCGCGATAATTATACTCCATTCTTTGAAGAGAATGTGACTTGTGCATTGAGAATGCAGATTCATTCCTGAAGGTGAATGTAACAATATGTGATAAAAGTAATGAATAAAGACGTGCAATGCATGATTGGATATATACCACAACTCACCTCTAAGGGAGGTTTGAGAGAAAGAGAGATAATGAATATTACTGTGTGATTACATGAATATGTCATTAGTCGCGTACATGTGGTACGCCAAAAAATAATTTGACATGCCTTATAAAAAGTTATTAAAGGGAAACTTAAAGCAAGAAAAGATTTTGCTTGTGATGATTTTGACCATGACAATTATATGATAAGATAATTTTCTCTGTGTAGGAAAAATTCACCACTTGGATGGTGTTATAAAAGATCTTGAAGTGCAAAATTATTGAGAGCTCCAGAAGAGCGAATTTGTTACTACCCGAATAAATAAAATTATTCATGGCATTGGTGGTAGTAAGTATCAAAAGAAACTTTTTGAGTTTCAAATGTAATAGCCAAAGTGGTTGGCATATTGAGACTATAAATGAAAGGAAGATCGATTATCATCATATTACTATAACATACCGGGTAAATATGAAGGTTACCCCATTTTTCTTCTATTTGTACTGCAGATGTATAAGCATGATGATGAAATCACATGCCATAGTAAATTAAATGTTTCTGAAATAAATATCAGTTGGCATGACCGGTTGGCCATCCCGGTTTATTGATGCGAAAATTGATTGAGAATTCACATTGGCATATATTGAAGAAATAGAAGATTCTTCAAGAATTCTCTTATGCTGCTTATTCTCATGATATACCAGTTAAGGTTGGGATTGAATCTCTTGATTTTTGGAACGAATAGAAGATGATATATATATATATATGAGCCCAGTCACCTGCCATGTGGACCGTTTACTATTATATGATTTTACTAGATGCATCTATTGTATGGTCATATGTGCATTGGTTATCAACTTGCAATTTGGCTTTTGCAAGGTTGCTTGCTCAAATTATTAGAGCACAATTCCAGAATGTAAATTGTGATGATAATGCTGGTTTAAATCCAAGTTGGTTTAGTAGAAATTGTATGCCTCCAATTATAGCTAAACCATTGGTTATGAGAACAAAACTCCAAATAGAAATTTTGTATTAAGTATATTATTTAATATACAGCAGCACTTGTACGCATCTAGCCAACAAGTTATGATAAATTGTCCCCATCACAATTGGTTCAGGGTCAGGAACCAAATATTTTCATCTAGAAATATGGATATACTATATGATTTAAATGTGCCACCGCAATGCACAAAGATTGCTCCCCAAAGAAGGTTGGGGATATGTGTTGGTGATCCCAACATTAGGGGGAGAAAATGAGCAGCTGAAAAAAGTAATACATGGAATGAATTATTATGAGTACACTTAGATCCTCATACAAGAAAATATGAACTTGAAGTTCAAGTGATAATTCATTTGCAAAATATTTCCATGCGCATTTGCTGACCCAAACTAAATGTCATATTTCAGCTACTAATGCTCCAAATAGAATAAAGTCCATGATGGACATAGTCTATGGAACTCATGAAGCGTAATAGACTAATCGGTTCCAAAGATAAAACTCCTTGAAGAAGGAGAGGAGCAAATGTTCAAGATGGTCATAATAAGGAGGCAAGTGCTATATAAGAGCACCATGACATAACACTTCATAAGACCTCATGGGAAAGGCTCAGGTACCTGAAAATAATGAGATCTCGATCAGTTATGTCTTTATTGACTGATGATGGAACCGACGTAAAATGATCGCCGACAATGTTGTTGATATAATGTGGCGCTCAATACTATTAATGTTGACGAGGATCTTGAGCTCAAATCTGTCATGGAATTTGGACAGATAAATGATTGGCCAAATGAAAAATATGTAATGAAAATTGACTTCATCTGAAAAATATGAAGTTGGACGGATAGTTCCAACAGCTGAAAGTATAAAGGCTATATAGAGATATCGAAATACGATTAGTGTTATATTGCGAAAGGAATCTTTGATATATATTTGTTTATTCTAACAATTATTGTCAAGGTTTTGTTGGTTATGGAAATGCAGGCATTTTATGAAATTCGTTCTTGAAACAATCTATTTGTATATGAGGGTAATGCCATATTGTGATATTCAACAAGGTTCCAATTACATTGAAGATGATACTACATGCATAGCTCAATTGAAAGAAGGACCATCGAAGGAGACAAAATGAAGGACATTCACCAAAGTTCTTCAACAAATTTGTTCAAGTGATAATTTGACAAACTTCTTCACATGCATTGCAGATCTCAATATTAGAGAAGTTGTTATACAAGCTTGGAATTCGTCATCTCTGAAGAATAAAGTGATGTTTTCATCAGGGGGAGGCAAATACGCGCTGTACTCTTTTTCCCTTAGCTAAAATTTTATCCCACTCGGGTTTTCTGGCAAGGTTTTTAATGAGGCAGCAAATAATGCGTATTACAAGATATGTGTACTCTTTTTCCTTCACTAAGATTTTTTTCTACAGGGTTTTTCTTAGTAAGGTTTTAACGAGGCACATTATCTATAGACATCCAAGGGGGAGTGTTATAAAATATTATATTTTGTAGTGGATGTCTATAACTCCTAAACAAGTTATATCCACTACTCTTCTCCATTATGTAGATAACTCCCACTACTTCTCACCATTATAGTTGTAACTCCCACCCCTCCATAACCTCCCCATGATCTTCCTACATGATCTCAAATGTTTAATGTCATGTTTATGTCATTCTTTTGTATGCCTTTATGCAATCCTATAAATAGAGGGTTTTGGCACCACATTGTACACACTTGAATATATGGAAGAAATAAGAATCTCTTCTCTCTTGCTCCCTACATTCTTCTCTATTTTCTTATTTTATATTATTGCTTTGAGCTAAGTTTCGTAACAATATATGCTATGAAAATATTATGTTATGGACGTCCATTTAATACTCCATTATACATAATCTTTCTTTTTCTTTTTTTTATAGACCGTAGTACAAGATTCTCAGAAAAGTTCTCTGGATATGCTTGGAGGCAAAAAGCGTGTCGGTTGCCTACGTTTGGGCAATTAAGGACATATATGAGGGGGCCATGACACGAGTTAGGACGATAGGAGGCGACTCTGAGCATTTTCCGGTTTTTATGGGTTTACACCAAGGTTCTGCGCTTAGCCCGTTCTTATTTTCCCTGGTGATGGACGCGTTAACACATCATATTTAAGGGGAGGTGCCGTGGTGTATGTTATTCGCCGATGACATAGTTTTGATTGATGAGTCGCGAACCAGTGTTAACGAGATTGTTTACCTTGAAAATGGTAACAACAATTATATTTGATTTTGTGGTTCTAAAAATACGTAATTTATTTTTATGCTAGTTGTTAGGCAATAGATGCTAAGTGA